GGGTCCTTCTGCTTCACTTTCTCTGCATAACAAGCGGTCTTGCCACATCATTCAATCTTCCTTCAGTAATGTATTCTCTAACAGAGCATTAGTGAAAATCTTAGTCCAGGGTTGGTCTCCCCATGATTTTGAATAGGGCTGATCTGAATCAACATATGAGTTTAAAATTTAGCTCTTAGAAAACAATTTCAAGTTTCACCTCCTCCAGAAACATTCGCACATAATCAGCTACAAATAAAATAAACAATAGTTATAATCTTCCTGCCTTTAATTTCAGACAGTCTAAAGTAAAAATTGACATTTGTATGATATAATGCTTCAGTGTAAAGACCAAAATGGAGAATTAAATAATATTTAATTCATTTTATTTGCTCTGAAGCATTTTAAAAGATGAGGAACAAGGAAGAGAATCTCTATATTCATAAATGTTATATTAGATTCACAAACTACACAAGGAATTACTAGGTCCATAAACCAAACAATGAAGCATAAACAAAAGATGAAGATACTTGAAATACGTAGACCCTGACTTAAAAGGCAATATATACTGATGAACACTCACTGTGGCACACTAAAGTTTTTCCATCCTGCTGAAATATCACCTGCAATAAACAGCCCCACTCACATCATCTGGAGCCTTTCCCTGCTGTTAAAACCCCAAGCATCCTACCTAGGCCTTGTAGAGCCAACTGTCTGAGCCCTGAGAAATACAAGGAAGCAAGATACTGTGGGCTCATCTGAAAGCAAAAACTAATGTTGCAAATATCATTCCTGCAAGAATAAGTTTGAAGTTAAACCACTAACTTACAGTCAAATTTCTAAACATATCCCACATAACAGTTTGTATACAAACATAACCAGGGTTAAAGAAAAAAAAAAAAAAAAACAAGACAAGCCCAAATTACTGTCCTTGCTGACAATGAATATTCATAGATGATTAAAATAAAATGCATGTAATAAAAATTTCCAACCCAGCTACCTTAGAAAAGGCTACAAAAAAGTATGCTGAGGGCCCAACTCGGTGGGCTAGCAGCTGAAGGCCTTGCCTTGAATGCATCAGGATCCCATATGGGTGCCAGTTCTAATCCCAGCAGCCCTGCTTCCCATCCAGCTCCCTGCTTGTGGCCTGGGAAAGCAGTCGAGGATTGCCCAAAGTCTTGGAACCCTGCACCCGCGTGGGAGACCCAAAAGAGGCTCCTGGCTTCAGATCAGCACAGCTCTGGCCGTTGTGGTCACTTGGGGAGTAAATCACTGGATGAAAGATCTTCCTCTCTGTCTCTCCTCCTCTCTGTATATCTGACTTTGCAATAAAAATAAAACAAATCTTAAAAAAAAATGCTTAAAGAACTTTGCTTGGGCATTTACACAATTTAGAGGTACAATATGATAATATTTTCATGCAGTCAAAATTTAGAAATTCAAGTATGAAACCAAAAGGAGTGCAGATAACTAAGGAACCCTTGAGTTCAGAGATTCTCAGACTCATTTGTTCTAAACTTTCTAATAATCCTGGAGGTCTTTCTTAGGCACAACAGAGGCCAGTTTTCATAAACAATCACCTGTAGTGGACAGCATTTTCAGGGCTATGCCTTTAAAACAAAGCAGTTTTAGAATTTCCCAAGCTTATGTCATATATGTTGAAGAACTTAAATCAATCCAGCCAAAGTACTTTCCTTATTTACTTACTTATTAAATTATTTCAAAGACAGGTTAACATAGAGAGGTTTTTCTCTCTACTGGTTCATTCCCCAAATGCCCACAGCAGCCACAGCTGGACCAAGCCAAATCCAGGAGCCAAAAACTCAGCATAGACTCCCATATGGGTATCAGGCCATGATCTGCTGCCTCCAACAATGCATGTTAACAGCAAGCTGTTCGATGTGGAACATGGGCATCTCAAGCAGTGGGTTAACCTGCTGTGCTGTACTATCTGCCCCCAAGATTTACTTATTTATTTGAACTAGAGAGAGAGAGAGAGATGAATACAGAGAAGACAGCGAGCCATCTTCCACTGGCAGACTATTAGCAAGGAGCCGGATTAGCAGCAGAATAGCTGGGATACGATTCAGCACCCAAGTGACAGGCAACGGCACGCAGTGGCTTTACCTGCTAAATTACAATGTGAGCCTCAGGAATAGTTTCAAAACAATTCATTTTTATGTATCTGAATGGCATGGTTACAGAGAGAAGGGGAGAAACGGAGAGAAGACAGATCTTCTCCCTCACTGGCTCACTCTCCAAATAGCCGCAGTAGTTAGGTCAGGACCAGGTCGAAGCCAGGAGCCTGGAACTTCATCCAGGTGTCCCACATGGGTGGCAGGATCTAAGGACTCTTCTGCTGCTTTCTCAGGTGCATTAGCAGGGAGCCATTTCAGAAATAGAGCAGCTGGGACTTGAACCATCACTCATATGGTATGCTACCATCACAGGCAAGATCATAATGGAGTGCACCACATTGGCCCCACAGGGCTTATTTTAAAACTTTAAGAACTGAATGTAATTTTTATTAAGTTGTTTTTTCTTCTTATTGTGAATGTTTATAGGCAATTAATACATACTTCAAAGACTGAAGTCTAGGAGGCCAACATTAAACCACCACTTGGGACTTGTACATACCACATCAGAGTGTCAGTTTGAGTCTTGCCTATCCCATCTTCAAACCAGCTTCTTGCTAACATGACTGGAAGGCAGCAGATGATGGCTCCAGTACTTGGGGTTTATGGCTCCTGGCTTTGGCTGGGCCCAGCCCCAGCTATTGCGGATGTTTAGCAAGTGAAACATGGGCAGAAGGAAATCTCTAATCTCTGAACTGGAATGTGGAATGCTGGCAAATATTTAAAACTTGAATCTTTGGTTTACAGTGTTTCCAAGCAGATTACATATTGATTTTTTAAGATACCAAACAAGTGACTAATAGACAAATTTAATGCCTTAAGTAAATTAAATCTGAAATTAAAAATTGTCAAAACACCTAAGACTCTGTTATGGATTATGTTACACAATAAGTAAGTAGACAGAATATAATAAATATATTAAATATATTATGCCATCAAAGTAAATATATGAGTATTCAGGGCCAAAGATTAAGATTTAAAGATATTTTAAAGGATATTATGTATTGACATAATTGCTATGTGGCATTTTTACATGTGCATTGGTAAATAAATGATTGGGGAAAATACTCTTTACCACTAAAACAATATGGCCGGGCCCAGCGCGGTGGCGCAAGTGGTTAAGGTCCTCGCCTTGCACACCCGGGATCCCATATGGACACCGGTTCTGTCCTGGCAGCCCTGCTTCCCTTCCAGCTCCCTGCCTGTGGCCTGGGAAAGCAGTCGAGGATGGCCCAAAGCTTTGGGACCCTGCACCCGCGTGGGAGACCGGGAAGAGGCTCCTGGCTTCGGATTGGCATAGCATCGGCCGTTGCGCTCACTTGGGGAGTGAATCATCGGACGGAAGATCTTCCTCTCTGTCTCTCCTCTCTGTATATCCGCCTTTCCAATAAAAACATAATAAAAATAAATCTTTAAAAAAAAAAACCAATATGGCCAAAACACCAAACTTCTGTGTGTGTACAATATGTGTGTCAGTGTGTATAAGAAAGATTCCTAAGTCAATCTTTAAAATGTTATCAAAACTAGCATGTGCACGTTAATGTTAAATTTTACCCCTCCTTGTGCTTGTTATTAAAGGAAAAAAATTCCCATTAAATTAACAAAGCACTGCCTTTTATTTTATTTAATACCTTTCTCTAATCAATACATCTTAGCTCAAAGAAATCAGGGTCTATTAACAGGCTTAACACATTACATGGGTACACAATAAGTGCTCACATGATACCTGTTCCATTAATTGTCCTTCAATTATTTACTGATTCTCTTTCTATTCGTTTCATTTTACATTAAAAAGTTTGAAATTCCTCTTAAGCTCTTGAAATTTGTTCTTATAAGATTCTTTCCAAAACTTAGAGTTTCATTTATTTTACTATATTTATTGGTCAAGGAAGAACTGTCTGATTTTGTTTTCCCCCCAAATTTATTCCAAAATATACTGAGATTACAACGAAAATCTTCCCTTAGGTCTCAAGATCTAGAGCTTTTTGTCAGGGGACTATGAGCTAGCCACACACACCTGACCTAACTAACATATCAATTAGCCCCATGGCTCACAAACTGAAATACCTAATTTGTCTACGGTCAGAAAATAGACATGCACAAGAATACACAAAATTTTGGTCCCTCTTTATTTCTTGGGTTTTTTTCCTGCCACACTACTGTATTTATCGAACACACTTTTACCTTCTCTCCTCCTAAAAATGTATCCTTCATTTCATAAACATCTTTAGGCACAAAGAAAAAAGTTGCAGTTTTGACCATGAGTGTTCATTTTGAAAACAAGCATCACAAGCACTCCCTCTGACCTGGAAGATTATTTCAGGGCAGTAGTTCTCAAAGTGTGGTTCAAACAATCTTGTGGAGAAAGCTGAGTCTTTGAACTCTTTCTCCTCAGTGAGTCAAAATCTGCTTTGATAATACCACTGAGCTAGCACTTGCTTTCTTCATCCCCATTCTGGATGACACATACCATGACATATTACAACAAATGGAAATTGTAAACAGAAATGAGAATTGCTCATCAGCAAGCCAGATAGTAGTTTGTTAAAATATAAGACATATCACTCCTGTCATTAAATGAGTTTTTATCTTAGAAAATCTACTCATCTTTCATTTAAAAATTATGTCCATATGTATGTTTAAATGACTTGACAGTTTTAATTTCAAATGACAAAAATAGCTACTAGGTAAGTAAAAACTTGAAATCCTCAATAATTTTTTTTAAAGTATGAAGTATCCTGAGATCAAAAAGTTTGAGAATCAATGCTTTAATGAAATAGTAAAGACAGAGGAAATAGTTCTTCCTGCCCTTTAAATTACACTTGCAACATAAAATTCATACAGCATAAGAAATTTTAAATTAATTTTTTAAAGCATCAGACTTACCATTATAGGTTATTCTTGGCTTTGTTAAACACATCACAAGATGCAAATCCATTTCATCTGATGGTACAAATTTTGAGCATACAGGGCACTTAAATCCTAAAAGGTAAAGAAAATACACATTACTCAATCATTCGGAATATCCATCTGCGATCTTTAAACAACATGGAAGATGCACACTTCAAACCCCAATATTAAACTTGCAGAAATACAATGTGCAACTAGTCTAGAAGAGTGTGACTACAACGTCTAATTTAAACCGGTCCACAAGCATCAACCTGTCTTCAAAAAAAGTCCAACTGAGGAGGCTGTGATCTGTTACAAATCCACCCAAGTACTTCCTAACGTCCTGATCCACTCACTTTCTTATGTCTAACTTTTTTACACCACCCTCAACTTAAGACTTTTATAATAGCTTAATTTTCTACCACTCCTCTGAAATTACCACCCCAGGTTCTGGTATAGTACACTTGGAGAAACAAGACTTTGTAGCTAGACATGAGCTTAGAAACGACTTTGCTTCATCAATCTTTAAAACATAAAGTTGATGAGGAATATAAAGCCTTTCACAACAGCAAGAACAGGTCTAGAACATAAGATGTTTATTTTTGCAGTATCTGTTGCAACAGGCTACTGAATTCATAATGCACACAGAAAAAAACATCAAACCAGGGCAGTCTGACTTTTAGCTCATTTTCTACAATGTCCCATCTGTGGTATTAAGTACCTGCCTGAAGTGCTGTACTCCACTGAAAATAAGATGGTATATCAGAGGGAAGACTATTCTGTGAACTCCTGCTTTCTCACTGAGGGAAACAGCCCTCCCTGGCTCCTTGTAGCCCAGGCAGCCCTGTTCTACACTGGTGCTGTTTTTCACTCTGCCCCACTGCTCCCCCATTCCCAACAGCAAAAACAGGACTGGACCCGTGATCCTGGCTAGGGACAAAGCAAAGTGGAACATAAAGATGTGCTTGGCCAGTCAGTTTTTCTTGGAAATCACTAAGAAACAGCAGCAGAGTACACTGGCCATTTAAAAGCTGAAGCAGAAATGTCTCACGTTGATAAGATACTAGTGTGTCTGTGATTGCTCAGGTGTAAGCTGAACTTTACAGAGAACAGAAACCACACAGTATAGCAAAGCACAGGAAAGCGGTTCACAGGAGAAAAAGGAGCAGGTATATAGAGAGAAACAGAAGCACTCAGAGAGATGACTGGTACAAGGGTGGAGAAAGATGTGCCCTGGCTGCTCTCCAGCGCAGTACTGGTGTGTTCCCTTCAGAAATAGTCCTCCCTTGGCAGTGAGGTAAGGCTCACTGCAGCCAAATGAGTCAGACTGGAATCACAACTCATTTGGAGAACTTGACAAGCACTGGGAGAAAGGTTTTGGCAGGGCTACTCATCCAGGTACTCAACTTCCTGAATGCTATCTTCCAAACCATTAAATGTATTTTAAAACAAAGGAACAGAAGATACATTTTCAAGTTCTTGAAAATTACTAAAATGGAAAAGCAAAGGTAAGTCATCCAAAATTCAACTACAAAAAAAAAAAAAAACCACCAAAAAACAAAACTATAACCATCCAACCAACAATACCAAACAGTAAAACGTGATTAACCAGGAAGATCAAGCAACTTTAAGTGAAGGCAAATTTCAGGACCAGGCTTCCTTGGAGTTTAAAAAACTTCCTTCCCTGAAGTTAGGGCATTAAAGAAGTAATCTGTTTTGTAGCTACTCAGCAGAGTCATTGGGGTCCTAGCACATAAACCCGGAATCATCAAACACAGTACAATACTGTGCCAGCAAGAGCCACTCAAACCCTCATGAAGCACATCCCAGGAAGAAAAAACACAGCGTGAATAAGAACACCTGAATGCCTACTTAAATACAGTGAACTAAATACAAGTATTTCTCTGAATGAAATGATAATCAAATAAAAATGACAAAGAAGAGCTGGAGAGGAAGCAGCAGCAAACAAGAAGGAATTAATAGAACCAAGAAAACAGACAATTAAAACTCAAGTCTACTCTCATTATCTAATACTCCAAGGAATCAGGAAACAGCTCTAAGAATGCCCTGACAATCATGACACATGGCACTAAAGTCAAGACGGATTCCAAGACAGAAGAGACATTATACCCCCAGGATCCCAGTCGATGCCCTTCTGCCACACAACTGCCACAACCACTAGAGCAGAATAGAGATTGACTGGAGGAACCAGAGAATTTGGAACTGATGACTCAAGGCATGGCAAACGGGGGAATCAATAAAAACCCACACAGCCCAAAAAGTCCCTCTCCACAGCCTCCATCTCTTGACTCACCAACAACTTGGTAGATTCTTTTCTTAACCCAAAAGATCACAGAAAATGACATACCAAGATTCTTGTGTATCTATTAGCCCTAACCTCAGGCATAAAGCTTTCAATCAGCTTTCTAGGACCTTTTTCTTAAGCATGATGCAATAAAAGAAAAAAAAACATGTAAGTGCACATTAAATATAAACTCAAAAAGGAAATTTACAATATTTGTCAGAAATATCAAAAACAAAGGGACAAGATCCTGATTTGTAAATAATTCTTACAACTGGGGAAAATAGGGGATGGTACAGTGGCATAGTAAACTAATCTTCTGCCTATTGCACCACTGTCCCATACAGACGCAGGTTTGACTCCTGGTTATCCCTTACTCTGATTTAGCTCCCTGCTTGTGGCCTAGGAAAGTAGCAGAGGCTGGCTCAACACATTATATATTACCAACTAATCAACAGCATGATCCTGCAGTCAACAGTCTGATCATCATCTACCATTTAAGCACGCTCATCAGTATCACTGTGTCTCCCTATTCTATCCTGGAGAGCTGTAACTATGCACATCTTATTTGCAGAATGAGAATGAAAACCAGACACACACATGATGATTATGCCACATAGCTGCCACAGCTGGGTCTGGGTCAAGCTGAAGCTGGGAACAGAGCTACAACTTGAAACCAGGCACTCTGATCATGGGACATGGACATCTAAACTACTGCACCAAACAGCTCCCTGAAAGACCTTGAAGACTGTCACCAAGACCCTGCTTAGGTATCACCCAGCTGTGGAAGACTTTCTTTAAATATTCCGCCCCTTCCATAATGTTGTAAATTGTTGTTGATGTTATGTTGTGGCTTTTAATTGATTGGGATGACATTCTGCCAGCTCTGCCTTCAGACCAGAGATGGTCTCCCCAAGAAACCACTGAATTTATCTGGACAATAAGATGTTGGACTCTATGCTTCATATATGCTTGCAATGAAATAATCTTGACTGAATTTGAACTGTAATACTGCAACAAGGTGGAGGAATCCACCACGGTGGGAGGGTATGGGGAGGGTTGGGGGAAATCCCAGAGCCTATGAAACTGTGTCACATAATGCAATGTAGTTAATAAAAAAAATAATAATAATAAACTAAAAAAGAAAAATAAATAAATATTCCACCCCAAGGCAGACTTAATCATTCCTTCCCTTTGTATTTCTTCATACAATATTTCCACTAGGACAATGTAGCAAGGGCTGGCAATGTGGCATATCGGGTTAGCATCCCAAGGGTGCCAATTTGAATCAGGCTGCTGCACTTCTAAGATCTAGCTCCCCACTCATACTGCTGGGAAAGCAGCAAAATGGCCCAAGTCTCTGAGTCCCTGTATTCATGCAGAAGACCCAGATGAAGTTCTGGCTCCCAGCTTCAGCACAGCACAGATGTCCATTGTGGCCATTTAGGATGTGAATCAGTGGATGAAGGGTCTTTCTTTCCTGCTCTTTCAACTATAATGAGTAAATTTAAAAAGCAATGTGTGCTTATGTGTACTTTTCTCTCCTTTTTAGCCTTAGCAGTCTAATAAAATCCAGACTCCTACACACTAAAGTTCCCATAACAATTAAACATCTGGTCTCTCGGCAGCGGGTGGGTCCCAGGACAGGGCGTCTCATGCCCGGATCCCATAGCCCGCCATCATGGGTACATGATGGTGGTTTGAATTGCTGCTTATATGGCTCCACGTTGAACCTAATGTGTTTCTGCGAGGTGAATACATCAAAAAGTTTCCCAACGACAGTTCCTCTTCCTTTAAAGAATGCGTTAACACTTAGCAATGCTGACCACCAAATAGCAGTTCCTGCTAAAGCTTTGGCACGGGTCTTGTCCAGTAGACACACTAACTGGATTAAGGCTACCGCCAAGGAGCACGTGGGCTGGAATGGGGGCTGCGTTCTGATCAGGTAACAGTGAAATCCCCCTTGGCACAAGTGTGGACAGGGCCTGGACGCTCCAGGCTGGACCAGACCCCAGCACTGTCTGGTGCTCCTGGAAGACCAGGATAGAAGTGGGACTGATTGGGCTAGGTCGCAACCCCTACTGAACCATGTGTAAGCCGTATGTGGGAATGGACTAGACGAGCCATGGCTGGGCTGAAATATCCAACAACAAGAACCAGCTTGGGTCGAAAGCTAGTCAGGAACTGGGCTAGGGCTGGCTCATGGACCCACTGGCATGCGCAAAGTCCGGCACTGGGAGAGGTTCTGATGGAGGAGCCTGGGCAACTCCTCTGGCAGGACACAGACCCCACTGGTAAGCGCAAGAAGCATGAATGGAAACAGCCCAGAGCAGGCCACAAGAAGTTTCCCACTGGCATACATTAGGCATGGATTGGGGGCAGACCAGGCTAATCAGTTATCTTCACTGGCAAATCCGAGCACCGGAACAGAGTACGGGTTGAGCCAGGTTTGGTTGCGATAAAAACCAGTCCACACTACAGAATGCCAGGAGGAGGTTGACTGTGCCGGATGTGACTGCAGTGCCCATCCAGCACATGTGAGAAACAGGAAGGAAACGGGCAGAGCCATCGGGGGAATAAGGGGTGGTTCCCCTGCTGGACAGCTACTCCCACTGGAGAGCATGAACTGGGATGGGGGCAGACCAGACTGGGCAGGGCTACAGCACCTGTGCGCCTCGTGTGGACTAGACCAGGGAAGGGCCAGGATGGGTTGATTGTTCCTATGGGTGCAACCTACAATTAGAATGGGAGAGGGCTGTTTGGGCATAGCCGTAGCATCAGCTGGCAGAAA